TATATATTTTTTTAAAAACTTGTTTTATCTAAAACTAGGGTTCTGTGAATCTAAATCTGGATAAATACAAAATAGAAAAAACACATGCATCAACTCGTTAAATTGATGAACAAAAACTGTTTTAAACATTTTACTTAAATGGATTTGTTTTATGGATATAAAACAAATCCATTTAAGTAAAATGTTTAAAACAGTATAATAAAAAATATTTATTGGCATTCCATGCACAAAAGTTTCATAGTAAGATGATAAACAATCACACAAGCGACGCAAGACCAACTGTATAGCACACTGTTTGCACATTGTTCTCATGACATTGAGCATCTGTGCTACTAACCCAATCAACACCACAAAAATAAAATGAACAAACAGGCCCTTCTATTGGATTAATATATTCTGAGTATTAAATATTTTTTATTTATTGCTTGTTTTAGATGGCTGACTTGCTTTCAAGAGTTTTTTTTCGTTTCTTTTTTTTTTGCATTTTCCTCTCTAGATATTTTTTTGGCTTGTTTGTCTAGGTTTTGTTTTTTTGATTCTTGTTAGGCTTTGTCAATAAGTATAGAATCATCTGAGGTCATATTATAATTGTCTGGCCATTTTATTCTTTCATCTTTTTCTTTTCTATTATCCAAAGATGTAAGTTGATCTTTGAGGAACATTAAAACTGATTGGTTGATATCTTACTTGATATCATACCTGCTTTTTTAACTGTTTCATTTATTGTATTTAAACTTCTAAGTAACACTTCTCGGTTTGACATTCCACATAATGAAGTTTTAGAAGTTTTAGGTGTATTGATTACAGGTTACAATAAATCATTTATGTTCATTTATGTCCTTTAAAAACTTTGATCAGTCAAATAGAAATAAACTGCTAAAGCCACTGCAAGCGTTTTCAGGTTTAAAAGCATTTTTTTGTATAAATTCCTTAAACATGGCAGAAAATTGTCTATTTATTAATGATTGAAATTTATAGTTATAAAACTGTCTACTGTTTGCTTCCATTTACCTTTAACTGTTTTAAAGACACCTATGTCTAAAGGCTGTAAAAAATGGCTCAGATGAGCAGGCAAGCATTAAACTGTGTAGACACTGCTCTAATAGCTCGCATGCCACAGCTTTCTGTGCTCTAATTTCATACTTTTTCATGCCTGTACTGTTTTTTAGTTGTTTTCCCATCTTTGAATAAGTGAGATTGTTCTAATTTATTCAAATTTTCAATTGTATTAGAGACTCTATTTTTTATTTTGATTTAGCTGCATTCATACAATAAATAAATTATCTCATTTATATACACATGATTATGGGTAAATAAATAATAATTAAATGTATCTAGAATTAAATTAACATATTTACTTACACTAAACTTTTTTTAGTTTTTGTTTGTTTCTATCTTTTTTTGAAACTATTTTTAGAAACAACAATATTTCAATTTTTTGCATAATATTAATCAGAGTTAAGTTTAGCACAAAATAGTACATTGTACAGTGCTTGTAATTTTATTAGCAAAACCCATTTTTTTTTCTTTTATTTGTAAATTTAATTTTGTTAGATTTCAAGTTGAAAGCTAACAAAATTGTAAATAGATTTTCAAATTAATTATTATATCTTTCAATTTGTCTTGTGTTAAAATTTATTTATTAAAAAAATTATTAATTTAATATAGCATAAAATATACAATCCTTTTTATAAAAGGTTCTTTTTATAAAATTTTTTGCTCATTAAAAAGAAGAAGACCAGTAGTAGTGCTTTCCTGTCTGTTGAAAACAACATTGAAAACAACTGATATTATTGTTTACTTTTTTAAAAGATAATTGAAAAATAAAATAATAAACAGATTACCCTCATTAATAAAAAAAATTTTAATATTCTATCTATGACAAAAATGCGACAATATTAAAACTTAAAAATTAAAACATAAAATATATATATAAACATCAGTAAGAACAACAACAAAAAAAATCTAAATGATAAGTCATGCAAGGTTGATTTTCTTTTAATGGAACATGTGATAATAGATTGCTTAAGCAACAACCACTGTAGTATTTATAGCAAAGAGAAAGAGATGCAAGCGTAACTTTTATACTGTATTTTTGGATTTTTTTAAAGGAAAGAAAGCCTCATTAAAGCCCAGTCCAAATATGACAACAGTATTCCATACAAGGACAAGTATTAGATCTATAAAAATAGAGAATGGAATGAGGAATACTAAAATGACAAGCATTTAGCAATGAACTTTGTAATTGATTGGTTTCTATGAGAAATCAGTAGTAATTTATTATTATGCAGTAATTTATCATTATGTGGTAATGGTGTAGTGGTAGAGCGCTCGTTTCATAAGTAAGAGGTTCTGAGTTTGATTCCCACTAAGTCCCTGTTAGTACCGTGCTCAACTTGTATCTCCACACAGCCACTTTGTTGGTCAAGGTTCGTGTTTCGGAGATATAGAGTTGAGAGAGGGTTATAACCACAAGTAGCCTCCTCATCTATATGGCCTTCATGGCCTTGCGGAGGTGAACTAACAAAAAAAAAAAAAATGATAATCTAAGAAGGTATAAAAATGACTCAATAACAGTTAACACTAGCTGTCTTGATGCTATATGCAAAACTATTGGTTTATATAAAATGTAAATATTTAAAGTTATTTTTTACCTACGTCATAAACATTATGACTTTTCTTGTAAAGCTCTGAACCTATTTGATTTTCTCTGTATACCTCTCTAGATGATTTTCGAGGATTTATTAAAATACCAGCATCACTCTCATGTATTGAAGGAAGTCCAAAAGAAGTTTCTCTGTAATTTACAGAAGATGGAAGTCTCTCTTGTTGATTATAGCTTCTTCCTTAAATTATAAAATAAAATAATAGTTTAATACTCAGTCATGTACTTTTTTAATACTTAAGACGTAGCATAGATTTTTTTGATACTTTGCTACGTCTAATAGATAATTTGCTAGTATAGAGACAAGATTCTGTAGCTGTGATGCAAACAAATTAACAAAACTTTTTGTTGTTATCAAGGGTAAAGGATCTCATAAAACTCGGATGTTAATCTTCTAGTTATAATATTACAACAAAAAAACTAAAAACTGATCTACCAAGCAGTTTAATTCCAGGGAAAAACATCTTAAAATAAAAATTTTAGGCCAATATGAAGATGATAAAAAATTTAGTTAACCCTATGCATGGAAGATACATATAAAAAAAACAAAAAAAAGATATTGATATAGATTTATTCAACTTTTAATTGATATAGATTTATTCAACTCTGAAAACAATTTTTCTAAACAAAATCTTTAAAAAAAGTTATACCTAGAGGCGCTCTTTTTTTACTGGCATAAACCTTTTTCTCTATATTTTCATTTATTTTCTCTCGAAATAAGCTCAGTGGTTTTGGATTAATCAAATCTTTAGCCTAAATTTTATATGAATAATATATATATATATATATATATATATATATATATATATATATATATATATATATATATATATATATATATATACATATATACATATATACCATAGACAACCTATGAGCTGTTTTTTTTACCACAAACTCTATATTTAATGCCTTTACTATATGTATATATGTATGTATGTATGTATGTATGTATGTATGTATGTATGTATGTATGTATGTATGTATGTATGTATGTATATATATATTATAAAATATATATATATATATATATATATATATATATATATATATATATATATATATATATATATAAATATATATATAAACTAAATGAAAAACAAAATCAACTAAAAAAAGAACAAACAAATGTTTTAAAAGAAGAATGAATAAATGTTTTAAAAAAAGAAAAGAAAAATAAATATTTGAAAAGAAATAAGTAAAAAAATATTGAAAAAAAAAATTAAAAAAAAAAAAAGTTAATGAATGAAATAAATAAAAAGAATGGAAAAGAAAGAAAATAATAACTACTTATACATAGAAAAAAGATTGGCAAATCAAGATTTTTAATTTTTTATATATTTGTTTTATTTCATATATTTCTTTAGTTTTCTTTCATATATTTTTTAGGATTCTTCATTTACGATTTATTTTTTAGTTATGCTGTTATGCGGTCTTGTAGTAATGATTTTTCTTTAGTTTTAGTTTATAAAATTTTACTTGTTATTTTTTGTTAGCCATTTATTGTTTTATTTTTTAGTTATTCTTAAATAATGATCTATAATTTTTTATACAGTCATATATTATTTGTTTTTGTTGAGTACTTTTGTTGCCAAAAGTAATTTACATAATTTTTTGTTTTGTTAGTATTTGTTGTAACTTTTGTTTTGTTTGAATTTTCTCAGTGTTTTTTTGTTTATATTTGTTTATTTATTTAGTCATATTATTTGCAACATATTTTAAATCTTTAAATTTTTTTTGAAAAAAGTCATTTTTATGTCATCGTTAATTGTTACATTTTACTTAATGTTGGTAGTTCATACTATTTGTAAGCAATTCGATGTGTAATACCAAATATTTCATAAATATATTGATTGATTATATATATATATATATATATATATATATATATATATATATATATATATATATATATATATATACATATATATATATATATATATATATATATATATATATATATATATATATATATGTATATATATATATATATAATACATATTATATATATATATATATATAAATATATATATATATATATATATATATATATATATATATATATATATATATATATATATATATATATATATATATATATATATATATATATATATATATATATATATATATATTTAAGATTTCCAAGCAAGAAAAAAAAATTAATTAACAAAGAATTACAAACCGAATGTGCCATGAAATCATGCAAAAAACTTCAAATTTTTTGAAAAAATGTAGGCTTGTTTACGAACAACAAAATGGTTATTAAAACATTCCGCCAATTCAATTGTTGTTATAGATACTACGTAAACTAACAGCATTTTTAATATACTCTGTTTAAGGCCAAGGATGAGCCCGTACGATTTTTAACTGTTATTATCGCGCATATGCAGTTATAAATCATCCAGATAAAAAATGGTCCTCTGAATTTTTTATAACAGTTTAGATATATATATATCAACACAATTTTCACCAATAAAAAATATATTCTTAATTGTAAAAAATCCAAATACTCTTTATTTTCATATTAAATATTCTAAATTGTTTTGAACAAAATTATTCTCTGCTTATTTTGAAATGTTTTCAATCAAAAACTCTGACTTCATAACTATAGGTTCATATTCGAGGACGACGCTGGCCATATAAGCATGATTGGTAAAGAAGCTCAAAAGTTGAAAAAAGCACTTACACCAATTGGCATCAAGTAATTGCAGCAACTAAATAATAATGTTCCTGATATACGGAGGTATTATTATTATTATAACACTATATGTTGGTTTTATTGACAATTTCTTTTTTGAACAAAGCATCAAACAAAGCTGTCAACGTTTTATTGCTTCAAATCATTTATAATGACTGTGCTTTATCTAAGAATGTGACAAGTTCTCTTTAAACTTAAATCATTCTCAAAGTATACCAAAATATTAAACATAAAAAACCATCGTCACAACTTATTGATTCAACATATTTTTCACAAATATTCATGGTCTACAAAGTAACCTTCCATTAGTTGAATCTTACGTTTTTCAAAGCTTTCTTTGAGAAACTAATTTAAATTTGGCATTTCCTACTTAAGATCTCAGTATTGATGGGTACAATATTTTAATTCGCAAAGACTCTCATTCTTCCATGCTTACGTATCAATTAACCTGTTGTAGTGAAATTAGGTTTGAATATTTTGACCACCCGTTTATGTGCTTTCGCCTAGCTTCTAATTACTCTATCATCTTTCTCATTGTTTTTTATTTTATGGCCATGTTCTTTCTCTTCACCCCACTGTCAATATTGTTGTTATTTGTGACTCATCTAACTGCTCATCATCAAACTGCAAGGCTTGGTTCTTACACCACTGACCCTACTGGCACTAAAGTCTATAACTTCTGAATTTCTAAACTTCATTCTTTTTTTTTTTACAAATTTCACTCTTTATATTATTAACAATTTATATATTTATTTATATTTAAAAATAAAAAAAAATGCTTATAACGAAGATTCCTTTCGAAAAAGACTGTACGCATTTTTTGGATTTGGATCCAGATGAGAATAAAAGCCTTATTATCAATCATTTTTGAATAAAAAACATCCTAAAGACTACTGTGTATAATATACTAAAAAGAAAGGAGATCAATGTAAGACCAAAAAGTAAAATTGGATGTGATCACAAAGCAAAAAAGATGTATAAAAATAAGAAAAAGCATCTTAAAAAATTGATTGTTCTAAAGAATGGTATTTCACAACGTGGTCTTGCAAAACGATTCAATGCATCACAACAGTACATGTGCAAAATGGGTACATCGGCAAGCTGCTTCACATTTACAAGAGTGGACACTTTTTTCCTCACTAGATAATTCCAACCATGCAATAATATCTATAAATCTTTCATCTCGTACTTCTTCTTTGGACTCTATACACTACTTACTACTACCCTAAGCTGACTGGGATTCTTTTCATGATTTTCTTTGTGACGTTCATTTGGCCGATGTTTTTTCTCTCCGCTAATAAAAACGCCATCTACAAAGCCTCCCGGATCTATGCAGGAAAAGAAGTTTTCATTTCATCTTGTTGGTTCCAAGTCAAACTTCATTAATTTGTTCATGAAACTAATCTTATTACCTCTCCTAAAGATAAAAAAACTTTTTTTCTATTTAGACTTATGAATCTTATGACCATTCTAATCCTTCCATTCCAATTAAACAGGTGAACACCTGTCAATAGTAGTTAACCATTAGCTAACACTGGTAGTCAATAGTTAATAGCCTGTCATAGCCTTATTGTTCTCAAGAACTCTCTTAAATTCTCTCTAAACTATATAACAATTGCTTGACTGAGTTTTTTTTTCATGCCTGCTGGAAAATGACGTCTGTGGTTTCAATTTTCAAAAACTCTGAAGAACTTTCTGAACTCTTTAATTATCGCCCAATCAGTCTTTTTTCAGTTATTAGAAAAGTCTTTGAGGTATTGATCAACAAATTGTTTACATTCAATTTGAGTTAAATAATTTACTGGCAGAAAATCAATACGATTTTCAATTCTCTCGCTCTACGAATGAGTTGCTAACTGAGCATGCAACCAAAGCTTTTGACAAAGTTTGGCATGCTGGTCATCTCAACAAGCTTGCTTCATTAAGTGTGTTTGGGAAAAGTTTTGAGAATATGAAACTGCTTTTTTCTAACCGCTTTATTAAAATCATCTTCAAAGGTCAACAGTCTTTTTTATTTTTAATAACTTCTGGAGTTATTAAAAATGAAATCTCTCTAAAAATGATATCTCACCCTTAGTCCTGCTTTGTTTTTTTAAATCTAAATTAATAATCTTCCTAATCTGAAGATCTAAAGTTGCTCAGTTTGCTAATGACTCAACTTTATACTCGTGTCCCAACAAAAAGTTTTCTCTTTTTGATGGCTTAGAACAGGCAGCCAATCTTGAATCTGAGTTGTTGTTATGTTCCTAAGTGCTCTAAAAAATCTTATTCGTCTAGTTTTTTTCCTCGAACATTAGTTCTTTGAAATTCGCTTCCTTCACCTTGCTTTCCTGATTCATATAATTTGCAATCTTTTAAGTTGTCTGTCAATCGTTATCTTGCTCTACAATCTTCATCTTTTCTCTTCCAGTAGCTTCCAACACTAATTAGTGGTTGCTTGCAGTCTTGTTGGAAGCGAAGATGTTTAAAAAAAAACAAAAAACAAAAAAAACTTTTGCAACAGATTGCAGCACGCAGTGGCTTTTAAATTTTAACTACAACAAAGCTCAGTAGTTTACTGCAAACAACAATAACAGCAATACTGTCAAATTTTCTTTTTTAATGAATGAAAACCCTCTAACTGAGTTCTCTTTTATACGCCTTCTTCAATTTTTGTTCACTACTGATCTCTCATGGTAATTTTATGTACAATTGATTGCAATATTAGCATCTCCTAATAATATAGCAATCGATGGTGAGCATGATGAAGATAGGCAACCTTATAAGGTTGCTTCTCTATATTATGTTCACCACTTTATTACCTCTGGTTCCATTCTCTACCTCTGCAAAACTCTTATTCTTCATTGTTTGGAACACTGTTGCCATGTTTTAACTGTTCTTCTAATAATACTTTTTCTCTTCTAGACATGGTCCAAAAACGCATTGTAATCGTAGTTAGACCCGCTCTGTCTGCCAAGCTTGAGTCTTCCTCCCATCGTTGTAAAGTTGCATCTCTTTCTTTTTTCTAAAAATACTATCATGGTTGCTGCTCAAAGGTGCTATCATCTTTATTTCTATCAACTAAAACTCATTCTAGCTTTTACTCAGCAAAGTTTCATTTTTTTTTACTGTATGTCTCTGCATGCTCTAATAACTTTTAATTATCTAGATTTTTTTTAAATAAGAAATTTAATATCTTTTTTATTCTAACATACAACCGTCAAAAAGTTGTCTAACTATATTATTAATCTAAATAAACTTAGAGCACAACAAAAGGACGATATATAGCAACTAGAGTAGTTAAAAATAACATTATTATTTTTTCTGATTTGATACGTGAAGACTATAACTACGCTATTTCTAACAACTATTTTCAAGACCTATTAAATAATGCAGATATAATTTTTTTACACAAAAAAGGTTCCAAAGCAGGTAAAAGCAAATAAAGGCCAATCAGTATTCTATCTAATCTAAGATATATGAAAAATGTATGTATATATTATGTATGATATAGGTACCTTTTTAAAACCATTTTATCCAGGTATGAATACGATTTTTGTAAAGTCATAGTGGTCAACAATGTTTGATTGCAATGACCAAAAAATGGAGAAAAGCCTTAGATCACAATGGATGCCGAGGCTCTTTACTAACTGATCTCTCTAAAGCATTTGATTGCAAATCACATTCGTTATTAATTTCTAAACTAGATGCTTATGGTTTTAGCCCAAAAAGTATAATAATTGTTTCCTCCTAAATAAGTATAATGATTATTTCCTACTAAATAAGTATAATGATTTTTTCCTCCTAAATAAGTATAATGATTATTTCCAACTAAATAGAAAACAAAGAGTTAGAATAAAAGTAGTTAATAGAAAAAAAAGAATAAGAATAAATGACAAATTTAGTTGTTACACTGACATGCTATAAGGATTTCTGCAAGGTTCAGTACTCCGTCCACTGTTGTTTAACATTTTTATAAGTCATTTTTTTTTCCGAGGTTTACTTTGCTGGATATGCAGACGACAACACTCTATAATGTACAAGAAAAGACGTTACTTGAGTAACTACCATCCTCCAAAAAGCCGCAAATTAATTGTTAATATTCGACGTTTCAAAAAGATATTTAGATGTATTTTAATTTTTCTTTTAAGAATAAAATTTTTTTAAGATGATTGAGTGACACAAGTTTTTTTTAAATTTTTGTAACTTATTCCATTATATCTTCTGTATTTTAGAGCGTATCTATAGAAATCCATTTGTGATTTCTTTTTGCTTATTTATTATCTTGGTTGAAAATGATTTGCTGTCTGATGCCTTGAGAATCGAGCTTTGTCCACAGCAATAAGTCTTTTCAGTTTTTCTTCCTCATCTATGTAGCCGTGAACAAATTGTTGCACCATTCCAATAGCCCTATCATCTTGGTCATTTACACAAACAACACTTTTTTCAAAGTTTAGAAATAATCTATAAGATGATTGCGTGTGCCAATACTAAGGTGGCAAGGTCAGCTAGTCCTCAATTCGTTGTTTATCTATTCCAGTTATCTCAAACATTAACCAGGAGAATTCATTAATCAAAGGAGCTAAGCTAGAAAATTGCTGATAAATGTTTAGTTCAAGTACTAACAATTTTTTTTATGTCTTTGTTCGGTTTAT